TGTAAGTATATATTCATCATTTCATTGTCTTCAAAATAAATGTAAATAAATAAATAATTTTTATTATAAATCACGGTGGATGTGCTAATAATGTTAGTTATTTAATGGTTAGCCATACAAAATGGAATTATGTTGTATTAAATAGTTTGTTTCAATATTTTTTTAATAAAAAAAATTCTCTTTCTAGTTAATTTTGCGTGATCACGTGTTTATCATATATAATTAATTTTAATCTTAAAATAACATTAAAATAATACCAAGAAAAACTTTGCCACTTCAATATATGTTGACTTTTTTTTTTTTTTGTGTGTGTGGTTATGCTGAATAGACATGCATTTGTGCAAGGCTTGGGTTTCATTTCTCAATTTAAACTCAAAGTACGTAGAATGCTGATAAATATAATTCTTAGAGCATAGTTAAAGTATTAAAAAAAATACTAACATGCTTTTATTATGATTTCTGGTCTAATAACGATTTTCAAAAGAAATTTAAGTATATATATATATATATATAATTTCTTAAAGCAGAAGTAAGCCTCTCATCCAATCCCGGGGTTGCTTAACTACCCTTGTTTACTATAATAAGGAGGAAATAAATATCATACGAAGATATTTCCAATATATCATATTCTCCTTCTATCTACAATATTTATCTACATTCATTCACCACTCTTTATAAGTGGTTACGAGTCCCAATTTTAATTAATGTTTAAATTTATTATCATTTTATATTTTAATTTTAGAAAACAAGCTATATACCGAAACTGTAAAACAAATTTACATTGTCAACTAATCTCAAAACATTTTGTATGGCAATTAAGTTTGTTAATACTTTAAAAGATTGACAATATAAATTATTTTTATTCAGATAGTATATAACCATTTATCCCTTTTAATTTTAATGATGGCAGAATTATCAGTTTAACTTGTATTGTATTGATTTTTCATTTCCTTTTTCTTGTTTTTCGCTGTTGTTTTAAATTATTATATGTATCTGTAAATTTGTTGAAGATTATAGTTAGATTTTATACTAAATATTGTTCAACATTGAAAGAAAAAAAATAGGAATTAAGGTTTTTTCCCCCCTAATATACTTCTTAACATATAAAATTAAATTGTTTGTAACCATTGTGAGGTTTATAATAATAATACAATATGATATATATGTATTAACAATATATATCAATATTTTATATCAATAAAATTATTTACTAATAAGATTAATCATCTTGTTGGTGTAGACCAGAGATGTACATATTATAATTTAATTTATGATAGACATAAATGTCATGTTAATACCTAATTAAGTGTTACAATAAGACATTTTTGTAGTGTTTTTTTTACAGCAATTTTTTTAGTGTTTGTTTTTCTTAATGTTTTTTTATTGTAGTGTTTATTATTCAAATATTTTGGATATCAATAATCCTCTACGTTTAAAATGCACATATTTCAGTTTTATATCTCAATCATTTTTCCAATAAATTCAGTCGTCATTAAATTTATGTTTACTTTAAGCTGTATTAGATAAAATTTGTAACTCAATTGGTTGAGCACGTAAATTATTGTAAATCCTGAGTTCGAATTAGAGAAAAATAAGAAAAGATAAAATCCGTAAAACATGAATTTGAATATCATTTTCAATATTTACACTTTGATATTTTTGAATTGAATCTCAAAAGCTTAACTCTTAGGTGATAAGTGATGTTGCAACTCTTTTTTGCATGAATAGACTGGGTGGTCAAGTTGACAAATCTTGTCTTGAAAAAAGAGCCCCCTCATACACTTTTTTTTTTTTTTTTTTTTTTTTTTTAGTTAAAAATAATTAGATTTATATGGTTTAAAAAGTATAAAAAAAAAATTTGAAGGAAACTTAGGGGTTGGTTCCATCCCCCCCCCTTCCCTTTTTTTTTTTTTTTTTTTTTTTTTTAATTTTTACATTTAAAAGGAAAATTAATTGCTTAGGCCCCGAATTCAAATCCACACAAGAAAAATGGATCCTTAGTCCTTACCTTACGTCATTTCCTTGTTTGCCGGTAAAATTTTAAATTCGCAGATGCTTTTCATAATAATGATGATAAAAACTATTTCAGTTGAAATTGCGCAAGAGAGAATGAAATAGTTAAAATAAAATAATGTATATGAAAATAAAAAGATAAAAATAAATTTCTTTTATTGTTTTTGAGCAGAAAATATAAGTTTGTCTTATATATATAAAATAGAGGGTGACGGCCCAGTAAAGAAAAAGTGGGCCCTGGATAACGTCGAAAAAGACACGGCACTTTGGATAGGGCCCACATTGGGCCAACGGATAATAGAAGTACGTTACGTGGGACAGGTAGGTTTCATTAATGGGCCCCTTCCCACGAGGATAAGCAATATGCATTATGCACTCTACGTCTCTGTTGCTGCTTATGCTACATTACATCATTGATTTATTTTTTAATTAATGTAAATGTAAATTATTTTACTCCCTCAATTTCTTTTATTATAAAATTTGATTATTCAATTCACTACAATTTATAATTAGTTAACTTATCAGGTAATAATAAATTATCTTCATATTAAAATCCTAACATCAATGCAATTCTTATTTTATCTTTTATTTATTGAATTAAGATAAATTAATTTAACTAAAGATATTACTTATATAAAATGTTTAATATAAAGAACATTTTAGGTTGATTAAAAAAATAAAAAAGAAAATAAACATCAATCAACATTTTTAATTTAGGTGTTATAAAACATGGGGTAGTAAATAAATTTCTTAGTTAAATGATTAACTCAATCAACTGGCTTAGTCTTTACGCATCAAAAACTACTAGCTTGGCCTTCATAGATGAATGATTCAATTTTATCGGCTTCATTTTTTCTCATTAACTATTTATTAACCATGCACTCAATTATGGCAATGTTCATGTACTGCTGTGTACTTTTCAAATAAAATAATATATATATATATATATATATATATATATTATTTTTTTTAAGACTAATTTATTCACATAATTTTTAATCGAGTGATAAGACTTTAAGTGGTAGTAAAAATCACACAAAAAGTAGTCTATAGTCATCCTATAAGACAAGTGCCTATATACAAAAATATCTCCCGATTTTATTGAAAATCAATGGGCTTAATTAAAGTGATTAAAAAATATGTACTTCTGTGAAAGAAAGTAGAACAAGTTGGTTGACCTAAGTTTTCAGTTTAATTTGCGTGTGGTTACTTATATATATATATTTTTACTACTTTGGTTAGAATTTGAAATAAATAGACATCAGCACTGCTAGTGCTGAATATTTTAATTATATATGGTCATTATGTTATTGAATTAGTTTTTTATGAGAAGTAGATAAAATAAATTTGTTTACACGCAGATATAATGTAATGTAGATCTGTGAACTAATCCACAACTAAAACTAAATTCTAAACTAAAATGATAAGATTAGCTGTTGTGTCCGTTTTGGTTGTTCTTGAGGCACTGTGCAAGGGATTGTGGACAAAATAGCTTCCATCAGTGAAGAAAGGATTGGAATTTTCTAAAGGGACAAAAATCAGTCTGTTTGTTGACACAGATCCATGGACAGAAATGCCATTTCAAAGAAAATCAAAAAGGTGAAATTGAAAATGGAAGCAATCTTACCATTTTTTTATATATTTTTTTTCTTTAAGGTGTAAAAATACAACACAAAAATTATTAATTAACATTATGATCTAAAATTGATGGAACCAACATCTATTTTTTAAAATAATAAATATATTTTATTCAAATTATTATTTTTTCATTAAACTTTTATATACTTGTCTCTACAAGTATCCTTCGTTATTAAAAAACAACAAATACTTTCTTATTCTCTTTCCTTTTCAATAGAAATAAAGTAAAATAAAAGCAGCCTATGTTGAGTGAGATCAAAATAAAATTTAATAGATTTCTTTATTTTAAATAAGAAATATATTAGACCCTTTTATCTTTATATGTAGCTTTTTTTTTTATTATAAAAATTAATAATAAATATATATTTTTTCTATAGACCTAAAACTTAAATTTTAATAACATTACTTTTGTAGAATAAAAAAAAAGGTTTATTGAATAAAATTCAAGGGTGTATGAACAATATTTTCATTTAATCTTTAACAAATATCCAGTTTAATGAAGCCCGAAATATTATTATAAAATTTGTAACATATAATTTTTACCGTTATATATATTACTCGTTTTCAATTTATTTCCTGTAGAAAATATTTCAATATAATTTCTACAATATAATTAATTTTAAATTCAACCTCATAATTGATTGTTGTTACAACATCATGATTTCGTGATATTAATAAAATTACTGTAAAATATAAAAACGAATAATTTTAAAGTATAGAACTAAAATATAATTTTTTTTATAAATATAAATATCAAATGAGTAGTTATATAGTTCTTCTATATGTTATATTATAGTTTATTGAATGATGTTAAAATAATAATAACAACTGATGAGGATAAAATTAAAAATATGTGTATAAACAAAAATTAAATCTAAAACAGTTTGATTCAGACCACATGAAAAAACAGTTGTTATTCAGTCAAATTAGAAACAAATATCAAATAGGACATATGAAGACAAAAATACATTTTAACATATAAAGTAATAAACGTTTGATTTTCATGCACACGACTCCTTTGCTTCTCCTTCATTCATCTATGAACTGGCATATGAATCCAAACACGACTCTCTCTCTCTCTCTTCCTCTTTTTCTTCTCTTCTTGATCGCTCCAATGCTCTTTATTTAAGCTCCCACACTTTGCACTACTAAAACAGAAAAAAAGAAAAATATCAAAAGAGTTAGGAACCAGATATGGCGAGGAAGAGTCAGGAGTTGCATGTGCTTGGTAACCAAACAAGGCTCAAGAGTTGAGTTTTTGGATGAAACGTTTTCTCAGAGAAAGAATCAAATCCAAAACTGTTTGTTTGTTTGTTTGTGATCTCTGGCTGAACGCCACAGATCAAATGGCAGAGCTGCTTCTAGTCACATGCTTCTCACTACTTTTTCTCATCCAACATCAAAATTAGACAAAAGAAGTTTGAGGAGGGAATTCACAAGTCACAATTCACAATTCACAATTCACCTTAGCTTACCCCACACACACTTTCATATTTTGTGTGTAATAATAACAAACGAGTGCAGAAACATTCCCAGTACGCTAGAATTCAGTGTTGGAACAAAGACAAGGACCTTTGCTGGTGCTCGTGGAAATACCAACCTAACTTGAATCTGTCAGAGTGCCATCACTCTCTATAGCCATTTTTGGTGAGTTTTTAATCAACCATCATAAATATTTCACCATCCTTATAATAACATAGTGTGTTACTCTTTTTTTCTAACTTTGAGTTGATCTTTGTTTAGGAGTTAATTTCCCTTGTGGAATCATTTTCATTTCACTTATGCTGCTGAGGAACAGATCAAGGGCAGTGACCAAGCCAGGTTTGATGGCTGATCATAGCTCCTCTCAACAACCCCCTAATCAAACCTATGCTAAAACCATACCCTCTTTATTTGGCTCACCAAAGTTCAGAGATTTCACCACCAAGTGTCTTTCAGGAACCGAGGCTTTAAGAAGTCCAACTTCAATTCTTGATGCCAAAGCATTATCCCCTTTTGTTGCCTTTGGAAACCCGTTTTCAACTCTTCCCCACAAAACCTCTCCACCAAACAGAACCTTATGGGACAAGCCAGATTCAAAGGGCATTGGCCTTGGTCTTGTGGGTGCTCTCAAAGATGATGATGACCCAATTTGTCACAATTCTGAACCCAACAAAGGAAACGTCCTGCTAAGAGTGAAAATCCCGTGTGCTGATGAAGATTTTGAGAACAAAACCAAGGATTCAGGATCGGGAATTTGTGCAACAAAGGATTGTTCTTGTGCTTCTCCAAGTGCTGGAGTTGTGTCTTGGGGTGAGATGGAGCTTTCTGAGGAATATACATGCGTGATATCTCATGGACCTAACCCAAGAACCACACACATATTCAATAATTGCATTGTGGTGGAGACATATTGTTCTCTCCCTCAAAACCAAAACTCTCACTCTGCTTTTGCCTCGGCAAATTTCCTCAGCTTCTGTTACACTTGCAAGAAACATCTTGACCAAACAAAGGACATCTTTATTTATAGGTACATACACTTATCTAATCTCCCAACCTTTGCGATTTGCATCATTAATGTTTATAAACTTAAACAGTTACAAGTTTCTTTAAGTCTGATAAGTACTTCTACCTTATATCTAAACAATTTTTATGTCATGTTCTATTCATCAATTAATACCCCCAACATGCACAATACTTTATGATCTTTGGTGCTATTTGAGGTAATGAATTGGGGTGTGTTTTTGCAGAGGAGAGAAAGCTTTCTGTAGCAGGGAATGCCGCCACCAAGAAATGGTGTTAGATGGGATAGAAAGTTTATAGTTTGAAAGCAATGGTTGTTCTTGAATCTTGACTTCACTTGCGTGCTTTGCATGCACCGTGGCCGCAAAGTCCTGCATTTTGAGGAGTACAATAACCAGATAAACGCACAAAGTCAAATCCAAATTTTCCATTCATTATGATTTTATTATGACCAGGCATTAGTAGCAGTAGTAAAGTAACTAGTTACTAGTTAGTATTTCATTGTAATCAGTAAGGTCCTTTTACTTTTTTACCTCCCTTTTTAAGAAGTCTTTTGTTTTTGTTTTTTTTTTGCGTCCTCTCCATTGCAAATAGAGATAAGAGAGGGTGTTGTAGAGTTGGTTCCAAGTGATGACTAATTTGATTGTTTCTTCTGGTTTTGCTCCCATTGTTTTCGGGTGAAGCAGATGGTATGTGATTGAGAACAGTGCCTTTCTTTTTCTTCTTCTCTTGAGTTGATGATAATGATGGTGCTACCTATTGTCATAGAAGGGGACCGGTTAATTATTTCTCACAAAGATTCCTTCTCTCTCTCTATGCATGCACTCTATTATTATTATCCTTAGCCCTTGGTTGAGTTGATACTTGATAAAGATTTCAGCAAACCATCATAATACTCTACAAAACTGACAATGACACAAAAGTATATATTTGTTAAAGGTCCTTTTCCTTACCCATTACTTCATTATCCAATTATTTGAATATTAGGTTACCCTTGGAAACTTTGATACGTATAACATACAGAATACCATTTTTTCAAACTTTGGGTGTTAAAAGCCATTTCTGATTAATTAATTAATTACCCAGAATTCTTATTCCACGTCCTAACACCTTTAGTCCTAATCCACAATAGTATGTGTTCCGATCAGGTATATAGTCAGACAACAAAAAGGTATGAAATAACTGGAGTCATCATTAAAGGAAGGAGCAGAAGTAAATGGAGTTAAAAAGACAAAAGATTTATGTACCAAAAAGAAAAAGGCCAAAAGAGATGAGGTAAAGGTGTCCTAATGTCTTATACTATCATATGATAAGCCTTAATGCGCAACCTCCTTTCTCTCTTTGGCTTCAATAAATAATTAAATCATTGGCTTTACACAATTCTAGTAACTATAGTTTGTGGGCAGAGGGATAATCGGTTAAGAGATCACATATTGCCATTTTGAAGATAAATGACTTCCAACCTTGTTGTTTCCACCATTGTGGAATAGAAAACAAATATCTCCTGTAAAGTGAAATTGTTTATAAAGTAACTTGTTCATATATCTGCATCTTTAACTTAATTGAAAATTATCCGTCTTAATAATTTACTAAAACTTCGCTATTGATTGTGTTTCTATTAGATATTTTACATGCCCGAATGACTAAAACACAAATTTAGATGATTTTTTTTATATATAAATCAGTAAAGATATATAGGATCTAGATTTAAATTAGAATAAATTGCATTGAAAATATCTGAGGTTTCGTGCAATTATACACAATTCTCTCTCTTTTTTAATATTTTTTTTATGTTTATAGGAGATATTAATATAATATTTTTCAAACAATTAAAGAGATTAATGTTATGTCTAAAAGGTGTTGATGTAATATTTTTCAAACAATTGAGAAGAGCTAGCATAAAGATTAAAAAAAATAGAGAGATTTTGTAATTTTTTAAAAACTCGAGAGATATCTATATAAGTGAAGTTACTCTTTGGTTATGATTGCAATTTTGTTACTAGCTATCTTTGATATTGCAATTAATTGCAAACAAATGCGACTACAATTGTGACTCTAAAAACCAGAAAACGTGATTGCAAACTATTTTTAAAACTCATATCTCATTATAACATGGATTAATTCGAATCATGCTTTTGACTTGAAGGATTTGATTGTAGGTAATTTATAAACACTTCTATAAGCTATTTTTTTACCGTAGGAGACCCTAACTTTGCATGTGCTGAAAATCTAGTTCACCCAAACTTTCATGTAACAAAAACTGATAATAACTTGCATTCTATTCGAGTAGAATCTTGTACAAACATGTTCTTAATCTTAAGCAGAGCTATAAACCCGAATTTCTTAAGACTAGTGTAATGCTACCCGACCATAAACTGTCACACGTGTCCTACAATAGTATGGCATATGATATGTAAATGAGCAACAAACAACAACATTAAGGCTTTGTTTGGATTTGAAGATGGAAAAGGGGGAGTGGAAAAGGAAAGATTTGAAGGGAAAGTGAGTGGAAAGTGAGGTTATTTGGATTAAGGGAAAGTGAGTGGAAAGTGTAGAGAAAGTTTGTGAAAGTTTGTGAGTGAATTGATTGATGTGATAGATAAAAATAAATTTTTTAATTGATAATTGTGTAAGATTACTATTTTACCCTTAAGTTAAAAAAGTTTATAATTATTATAATTAAAAAATAAATATATAAATTTTAATTTAAAAAATTATAAAATATTAAAAATAATTTAATTTAAATATTTACTTTAAATTTAATGATAGATAAAAATTAAAAATTTAATAAATAAATATGATTTATACTTTTACCCTTAGATTAAAATGAGTATAATATTATTTATTATAAATAATAATAATTACAATAAAATTATATTAATAAGTATAATTTTTAAAAAAATAATAAATAATGATAAGAATAAAAATAAATATTAAAAAAATAATAAGAATCATAATAAATAATAATGATGCTAATTATAATAAATAATATTAATATTAATAAAAATAAAAAATATTATTATTTTAATTTTATAAACAGGTATTATTTTTTTTATATTTTCACTTTTTGATATTAATATTTAAATAATAGGATTTTCTTAATATAAAAAAAATTGTATAATATAAATAAACAAACTTTAATATATATAAAAGTGAAAAAATAAAAATATTAATATTTAATTTATATATATAAATTAAATATTAAATATTAAATATGCTTGGCCACATAATCGATTATGCTGTGTATATATACACAGCATAATCGATTATGCTATATGTATAACATATAACATAATTATGTTATATGTTATACATATAGCATAATCGATTATGCTGTGTATATATACACAGCATAATCGATTATGTGGCCAAGCATAATCGATTATGCAAGACTACATAATCGATTATGGCCTTGCATAATCGATTATGTAGTCTTGCATAATCGATTATGTTTCCTTTGTATATGTTTTCTCTACTGCATGGCACACTATGCATGCATGCGAATGGGCATTTTCGGTCTTACGTGGCTTTCTTCTCCTTTCTTCGCACAAAAGCGAGGACGCGAATCACGCTTCTTCCTCCTTTTCTTCACCTTTCCGTCGTCGCAAATCACCAGAAACGAACAACAAGTTTCTTCGCCTTTCTTTGCTCGTGAACAGTAAATCCATAGAAACAAACACTACCTAAATTGGTGAGAGCAGTGCAGGGTGTGTGAAAACTGAAGAACACAACAGAATTGGGACCCAAAGAACTAAAAAGTGCGCGTGCATTAGATGCTCAACGGATGATAATAAAGAACAAACAAAAGGAACCTCAAAGATGGTGACTCCTTTGGCATCTTTCAGTGTTCTGATAGATGAGAAATATACATCGTTGTGACACCTTTCGGATATCTATGCGATCCAACAAGATAATATATATCTAGCGCTGTAGCTACTACCCATTTCATCAAACGCAACGGAAGGAAAATAATTGCTAGCTATACAACAAAATTCATATCACTTTATACTTATAGCTAGTATATATGCACAACAAGAAATGATGACAATGATAAAATGTGATATAAAATAATATACCAAGCATTATTTAAATAGAAAGAACTTATACCTAATGTTTTTAATCGTAATTTAAATATTACTTCTGAATATGTGTAACATTATTAGAAGAAACCGTAAACAAAGATTTTGGGGACGTGAAATGATTTTTAATTTAATATGGTTAAACCCCTATATGTTTTCATTGATTTTTTTCTCCTAAATCCCAAACCTTGTATGGCGGCAAAAAGCAAGGTTGATTGGTACTGGATGATGGTTTTGTAAGTTACTTCTACAGGTATAGAAGTGAAGCCATGATTGGAGTGAAATGGCGTCTAAAGTTTGAGGTTGGTGGGTCATATCTTGTCATAGGAGAGCATCGATAGAGGCTATAGGTATAGGGGTCTGAAGTAAAGGAGTGGGTCAAGATTTAAGTTGCTAAGTAGTAATAATTAATGATCACCCTTATTTGGAGTGTTTTGTTATTACTTTATATGGGATTATTGTTACTTTTCTTCAATTTATTTTTATATAAAGTAGTTTTTTAATCAAATGAATAGATCCACAACTATTCTTTTACAAGCATGAAATTTTGGATTTTTGTAGGATGAGTTAGGGATGGCAATGGGGTCCATGGGGCGGGTAATAGTAAACCCGCCCCTGCCCCACTGAATGAAAATTGGCCTTATACCCACTTTATATTCGCCCGGGTATCTATTAAGCGGGTATCCATGAATTTCTTGAATACCCACGGATATCCACGGATATCATGGATATTTATAAAATTTTAAGAAATTAAAAAAATTATATTACAAATAATTTTAAGTTTATATTTTAATGTCATTGAAATATTAAAAATAAAAATTTAATGTTAATTTTGAACTTTTATTTAACGTTAATTTTGTTGAAATAATAATAAAAATTCAAGATAATCAATAACTTAAAATATATTAATCTCACAAATAAGTTAAAGTCTCATCATAAAGTTACAATAATTTAATCTCATAATTGCAAATGAAAGTAAATAACTTAAAATACATAAATCTTATTGGTCCAATCAAAACTAGAAAATTAATCAAATTACATCCAACATAATTCTATAACATGCTTAACACATGTCGATAACTTCATCAGCCTCAGTTTTGTAAGAAAATAAGATGAGAGAATGTAGTTTTAAGAAATAATATTAAACGGGTACCTGCGAGTATGGATATCATCATACCCGCCCCCGCCCCATTTATAAACGGGTAAACAATTATCCGTCTCCATTATTCGCGGGTACCCAATTAGCCTATCCATTTATTATCCGTAGCGGTTTTTATCCACAGATACCCGCGGGTGTAGGTATTTTTGCCATCCCTAGGATGAGTAATGAGTTACTTGGGTTTTCAAATACTCGCCCTCTCCTTGTTTTAATTGATGAATGAAAATTATGAAGAGAAAAAGTTGATGAATAAATTGCTTTGATACTTATTTATTATTTTCAAAATTTTACATTTTTTTTAATAATTTATAACCATTATATGATGATATATATTTTTAGTATCCATAAATTTTGAACTATTTGCATCTTATAACTAACTGTATAAATTACATGGTTATTATATTTTAATTGCATATAAAAAAAATCACCTCACTAATTATATATGAAGTTCAATTTCAAAATAATTATAAATTATCATTTTTTATTTAACCCTTACCATTTTTTCATGATTATACACCCACTAATTGAATATAGAAAGTTATGTGATGTGTCTTTTTCC